TTAAAATTAGAACCTTCTTGTATACTAATAGGCAGTTGTTTCTTGATTAACATACTAATAAATTTTTGATCTCATTTATATTATCTAGTAATTTTTATTAGAAATTAATATTTCCAAATCTTTACTTGAATAAGGCATATTATAATTAGCCTGAACCTTCAATTTAGAACTTTAGACTATGTTATAAACTTTCAAACTTATTATATTAGAACTTATATTTGAATTTGAATTATATGTATATTAATTAACTTTCTTTAATATATGATGATGACATTCAATCACTAGTCTATCAAAGTATCAGTTTTATATAAATAAGATCTATCCACAATTGAATTTTTTTTTTACTTAGATTTTAATAATCTACATAAAGTTATTTCTACTTTGTGCAATTATATAATATAGAGTTTATAGAGCAGGACTTTAATTCCTTGAGCGATACTGAATCTGAATCAAAAGAAAATTCAGATAGTAATAAACTTTTTACAAGTTAACTGAAGAAATGTAACTTATCTAATATGACAGAAAAAGAAAAAGAAAAACAGTTCAATGAAAATATAACACTTCAATTTTAAATATATTAAGTAATAAAAATAGTAATAAATATGATAATGTTTCTAGTAATAAATATGAATATAATAATGATACTGGTTATGAATATGATAATTATGCTATAACTGACAGTGTAATGACTAAAAGTAGATCTGGTATAAAAAATTGACCTTCCAAATCTAATTTTAAGGATCTTTAACTTGTATCTATTAATCAAATACCAGAAAAAAGTTAAATTTAGAATTACTATCAAGTATACAAACCTGTAGAACTATATAAACAGATAGTCAGATAATTGTTTGAAGTTAATAGAGTTAATAGACCTCAACTATGTGATTATTTAATGGGATCGATAGACAGTTTGACAGGTAATTTTATTGGGCACTTGGTATTATAGCATACAATTACAAAAGAATCTTACAAAAAAAAACTTAATCAACAGCAACCTACACAATCAAATATTGATCAAATATTTTAAAGAATAGCTACAAATGATTCTAAACAGAAAATGAAATGAGATCAAAAATTTATTAGTATGTTAATCAAGAAACAACTGCCTATTAGTATACAAGAAGGTTCTAATTTTAA